GGCGGGCGGCCACGGGCAACATTGGCGGCACTGTGTCCCATGAGTTCCAGCTCCCGGCAGATGTCGGCGAGGACAGGCTGATGCTGTGCCCTGATGGACATTTTGCGGCCAATGTGGAAACATTAAATGGGGAACAAACATCTTGCCCCACATGCAGGAAAAAACTCACTCGGACCAGAGGGATCGAAGTGGGGCACACGTTTTATTTGGGGACCAGACAGGCTGATGCTGTGCCCTGATGGACATTTTGCGGCCAATGTGGAAACATTAAATGGGGAACAAACATCTTGCCCCACATGCAGGAAAAAACTCACTCGGACCAGAGGGATCGAAGTGGGGCACACGTTTTATTTGGGGACCAAGTACTCCTCTGTCTCCAACGCTGTTTTCTACTCCCCTGAGAACAAACCCCAGCTGGCAGAAATGGGTTGCTATGGCCTGGGCGTCACTCGCATCCTGGCAGCCTCCATTGAGGTGCTGTCTACAGAGGACAGCATCCGTTGGCCGAGCCTCATCGCGCCCTACCAGCTCTGCTTTATTCCCCCCAAGAGAGGCAGCAAGGAGGAGGAGGGAGCCATGCTGCTGGAGCGAGTGTATGATGACCTCAGTGAAGCACTGCCTCACCTCACCGGTGATTCGGTGCTGGATGACAGGACACAGCTGACCATCGGCAAAAGACTAAAGGATGCCAACAGGCTGGGTTATCCCTACGTGGTCATAGCCGGGAAGAGGGTTTGCGAGGACCCCCCGGTCTTTGAGGTCTGGAATCAGAACTCTGGCGAGGTTTTGTTCCTCACCAAGGAAGGTGTCATTGAGTTGATGAGTAAAGTGCAAGTCCCTTAAACTCCCTATCTCTGAATCTCTCATCTTTGCTGCACTAAGTTTGTCTGAACAGCCCCGGTTCCTTTTCAAGGACATGCAGGTTGTCGGCGATGGCTCAGGGTGAGCGGAGCCGAATCCCCCTCACATCAGAGTTGGCCATGGCATCTTGCAACCATGCTGGGTGCTGGGGCTGAGCTGGGGTCAGCCCACCTTCTCCCGTGGAGCTGGGGGCGCTTGTCCCTCTGGCTATGGGCCCCCGTGAGCCACTTTTACCAGCGCGTGTAGCCTCCTGCGGCTGTGGGAGTGCTGGTGGGGTCAGCCCCTCGCTGCCTGGCTGTGGCAGGAAAGCTGGTGATGGTCTCTGTCGAGCAGCTGAGGCTGCAGGAGAGGGGGACGGGAGGGCTTTCCCTCACCCTTCTCAGGTGTTGAGTTCTCAGCATGAGGGATTTTAAGAGGGAGAGAAAGGAAGGTGCCTTTCCTCCGTTGGCGTCTTCTCTGTGGAGACACTCAGGTTTGGTGAAGGTGAAGTCTGCTAATCTTAATTAAAGCAAAATTATGAACTCTGGAGCCTTGTTCACCTTGAAAAATGCCATAGCGCTGCACATCTGCAGTATGCAGAATTAAGGTGAAGAACAGTGTTGGGCATCCGCGTCCCAGTCCTGCAGGTCAGTCCAGCTGGTGGGATGCCTGGATGTGCCGAGCTCGGGTGGTGACGGTGTAGTTTCGGGGATGCGGCCTGAGAGCGGTGGAAAATCTTTGCAAAAAAAATTAACAAGGAAACGTGAAATTTGCGGACCTGCAAAGCTTGAGGGTAAAAATGTCCCGGCCGTGTTGTTGCTTATGGGCTGTAAGTAACCCTGTCCTGCAGGGTGGTGACATCCTGCCTGTACGTGCCCACTGCAGCGTGAGGCTCACCTTGCCGGGGCTCCTGTGAGGGACCGCCTGTCGCCATCCCAGCAGCTGATGGGACTGACTGGTCCCATCACCCTACCAGCCTCCCCTGGACAGGGAGAGTCACCTTGCCCTGTGCCACAGCTCCTGGGTCTGACACCTATAGACATTGAGCAACGGCGGTGCCACTGTCCTGTAGGGCTTTGTGGTAGACCCAAAAGGAGGTCTGAGGTGGTGACCCTGAGGAGGTCACCGGGGCCGCCTTCTCCCTGGCCCAGGCAGGAGCAGCTCCATCTCCCC